AAATTTGGGTTTAAACGATTTTTTTTCATGATGAATTAAAAAATCTTTTTTGGATAAATTGCTCCTCTTTTATAAACGCGTGTACGAAAAAAAGTGTCAAGGTCAAACTTGAAATTTCAAATCATGATATGAGAGTGTATTTGTGGCCATGTCCAGTCCATATATGTGTTATAGAGCGGAAGCTTAGAATAAATACGTGGTACTTTGAAACAATTTGTCTTGAGTGAGAACAGAATTATCGCATAAAGTAAGATTTTAAACATTAAAGGTCATATTTCATTTCATATAAACATTTTGAAGGTCATGTCCGGTCATCAATTCTGTCATTCAATGGATTGATATTGGTGTAACTAGGCATAAATTTGTGGCACATTAGGACTACTTGTAATGCTTAAACAATAAGTTGATAGCCAGATAGGTCAATTTAGAACATTGATGGTTGTGTCTATATCTTTGTCATTTATTCATGGATGCTTTTTAAAATAATAAGAAATACTGATGATATAAATAAATGCTTCTTAATGTTTCTAATGTTTGTAAAACTTGTAAGACTACAGCGATCATGCCTTCAATGTAAAAAATGGAAAAGAAGATTAACAAAGAAAGGTGGCATTCAATAAACGCAGCCCCAACAAGACCCAGCAATAGTCCAAAAATAGATGGTACAAATTTTAGTGACTAAAATTACATTAAGAAATACCAAAGTAATTTTATGGGGTGATAGTTGAAAAAAATATGCGATAAAATGATATCAAAAATATGTTATATCATAATGGAATAACATACTCATGAATTTCTTGAAAGATAGCCAAGAACAAAATAAGTATGAAAATTTGAATATATCTTAGTCACTTGAATGATTTTAAAACATGAGATTGAATAAGGTGCAGCGTCCTTGACAAAGTGACATAATTATAATGTAGACGTTGATATTAACTAAGACAATGAATAAATACTAATGAATTAAGACAGAACGCAAAAAAACTCGTATTTTCAGTTAAGTAAATAAAATTTAAAGACATAGGCTTCGACGGTTATATTTTACATAATTTAGTAGCAAAAACCCAAAATGCTCTATCAAGTCATTCTGTAATAATAAAAAAGTGTAAACAGCAGTGAATCGTCAATATATTAATTGCAGAATTTGTATCAATTAACTGTCTAATCTTCTATGCATGTACTATCATTAAATACCCGCGGTAGACCCTATATAATGTTTTACTTTATATTATTCATTAACCGTAAGACAGTGCAAGCTCGTAGACTGTTTATGGTTCATGTTTGCGAGACTTTTTTTCAAGGTGAAAGATAATAAAGATTAAAATGACTTTACCATTTATTTGAGTTTATTTCAATTAATAAATAGATGATCTGTTTTTAACCATGTCTAGACATGTTTAAAGTTTGATTGATAAATACGACCCTATATAAAGTAGCTATATCAATAAACAATAAAAAGTATCATATAAACACATCTGAGGATGTTTCTAAATTCCAAATCTCACAATTTCCCCCTTTGATATATGAATTTTGCGTAGGCCGGTGCTAGGGTGCTTGGACGGTACTTTGTAATTTCCAGTAACGTCCATGTACAGGCTCAATCAAATCGAGCCTAAAACGTTTTCAATTTTGCCGTTTTGATCGCTGTTTTGGGATTCTGTTGTTGTTGGGGTTTTTCTATTTGAAATCGGGTCGTACAAAAGATATTGTTGCAAAGACATGCGGGCTCAAAGACATAGTCGCTGACCTGTGAAGATGACAGGCAATTTTTAAAATATTTACATACTGACCTTGACTCTTGGCATTGAAATTATAAAATGATCTAGTGTCCATAAAGGTTTACACAAATGCTATTCTATCAAAATAAAGATTACTTAAACATCTAATGGTAAATTAAAATGTGCAGGTTTTATGTAAGACATTTTGGGTCTCAGATACCTGATATAGATTAATTGTCCAAAAAGAATGACCTGTGATAGTTTGAAGTAATGATGTAAATTAAAGTGTGCAGTATACCTACACAGGGTGTACAATTCGACATGACATGTTGCTCATATCATTATTTAATTTTTAATACTCAGTCCTACAGAAGGATCCATTTGTTTAAAAGCACTTTACTTATATTTATTAAAAAGGTGTCCATTTTGAAATCAAAGATGGCCGGCATGGCAGTCAATGTGTAAAGCATGTATAATTATCAGCCAATTATTCCTTAAAGTAATTGAAACTTTATTCCATGTAGATTAACGGAAATACGATACGATATGTACCAGAAAAAATATATGTTTAAGTAGATGGTAAAGGACAATGGCGGCCATTTTGATTTGACATTTTGAAGGTCAAGGACTTAAAGTACAGCCGTGGTAGAGCAAAAAATGGATTCAGCGTACTCGAATTATGTAAAAACGATTGACTACCTGCTTGTACTAAAAAATGCCGTTAGACTCTTTACGGAGGGTCTTTTCTGAAAATCAAACCCGTCTAATAGTAGTGTTGGCTTGCCAACCTTTTATGAGAACCTGTCTGAAGGAAGTCTTATTAGGTAAAATATCCATGTTATCGTGTAAAATGAAACAAACAAACAAACAAACGTAGTGCTGACTTGTCTAAACACTGTCTTATTATTTCAAAACGCCATGTTATCATGTCCAAAACCGGTGTTAACATGCGTAATGGAAGTCTTAATATGACAAACATGCACGCCATCTTTTCGAATTAAGATTTCAACATGTCTTAACACAGCCTTGTTTAAATGTGGTCTTGAATTGTCTTATTATGTGAAACAGAAGTGTTATCTCGTCGGAACTTTGTGTCATCTTGTCAAAATGTGATCCTGGTTTTTTATGCCACTATTGTATTATATTATACTGTCGTTTTGTCTCGTCCAAATGTGGTATTGACTTGCCTAAACACCGTCACATTTTGTCAGACTGCCATGTTATTGTGTTCAAATTCGACGTTATATTGCCTAAAGAATGCCTTTTATGTCAAAATATCATGCAGGTGGCGGCGTGCCGAGTGGTTAACGCGTCGGACTAGTAATCTAAGGATTGCTGACCGCGTGGCTTCAAACCCTGTCAGGGACAAGCCGTTGTTTCCTTGAGCAAGAAACTTTACATTCATTGCTTAGTACTGGTTGGTTCCAGGAACGGATTCGAGAGTGTTTCAATAAGCTTATAGCTTCCAACACAATCGAACTGAAATAAATTTGTATAAACCAAAATATCATGCTGTCTTGTCCAACTGTGGTGGTAAATTGTCTAGAAATTGTCTTATTATGTGAAACAGTAGTGTTATCTTGTCGGAATTCGGTGTCAACTTGTCAAACTCATGGTTTACCATGTCGGCTCGGAGTGATATCGTGTTTAACCGCCATATTGACTTTTATTTTGCTTTGTATGAGGTGGTGTTATTCTGCCTTATTGTGCAAAACCTCATGTTTTCTTGTCTAAAACTGTTGTTATCCTGTTTAAAATATACTTATTATGTGAAATACTAGTGTTGACTTGCCAATACATTTTGTTTGTTTGTGTAAACGTTATTTTATTATGTCAAACAGTATTGTTGACTTGTTGAAAGATGTTATTGACATGTCCAAACACTGCCTTATTTTCTCAGATCGCCATGTTATTTTATCCAAACTTTATGTTAACCGGCCTAAACACCGTCTTAATATGTGAAATAATGGTGGTATCTTTACAAATTATGATTATGAACTGATAAAACGCTGTTAATATGTCAAACTGTCATGTCCAAATGCAGATTTAACTTGTCTAGATTCGTCTTATTAAGTCAAATAGTCATATTATCTTGTCAAAACGTGGTGATGACGTGTCTAAAATCATGTGAACAGAGTCCGCGCGGAGCGTGAATTTAACAAAATCAGACAGCGCTTTCTTAAGACAGAAATAAATTTGAACAAAATAACACAATTATTAGACATATAAGACTGTTTTTGTTTTTTACAAGAAAACATCAAATTTTGACAATATAACACTTCAGTTTTACATTATAAGAAAGAGTTTAGACAAGTCATTACCACATTTCGATAAGGTACCGCAATGTTTTGACTTTATAAGACTGAGTTTCAAAAGTCAAAACCGCTTTTTGACAAAATAGCATACAGTTTATCACAATAAGCCATGATTTAGCCCAGTCAACACCCCGTTTCGCCAAGATAATGCGAATATTTGATATAATAAGACAATTCAGTCTAGTGTACGTTGGCATTAACACTTCTGTTTGACACAATTAGAAAACGTCCAGACATTTAAACACCGTATTTTGACAAAATAACATAGCAGTTTGATAAAATAAAGCTATGTTTTGACAAGTCAACACCAAATTTCGACAAGAGAACACTACTGTTTCAAATGATCAGACAGTCTTTTGACAAAACAGTTCCACAATTTGACCAAATAGCGCAACTACATGTATGTGATTTACGATCTTTTTATTTTGGGATTAAATAGATCATTACAAATTAGTGACTTACTCAGTTCCTTATCAAAGGACATTTTCAATATCTTTACTGACTGTCGACACAATAAGACACATTTCAGACAAGCCAAAACGACATTTTGACATGATAACACTACTGTTTGAAAGAATAAAGAATGTTAAGACAAGTCAATATCACATTTTGAAAAGATTAAACTACTGTTACGCATAATAAGGCAATGTTTAGACAAGTCGACAAAATACTTTGGCAACACAACGGTAATATTTGACATAATACTACGATTTATAGGCAAGATAAAAAGACATGTAATAACATGAGGCAGCTATGGCGTTCCATAATTTGGCGTTTGGTAAGAAGTTCGGGTTTCTGTAATATGTCCCCGTTTGTTGTCGTCTGCGTCATCACTCAAATCTGAACTACCTGATGCCTTATTCGAGGACACAATATCATCAAAATTCTTTCTTTCCTTGGAGCATACGTCTTTGGAATAACCTTCCGACTACTATATAGACAAGTAAACCTGTTGGTTAGTTCAATCATAAAGACCCCGCATAAATGTTTGTAGTGTCGAGTAGAGAAAGTGAAAATGGAGGTAGAGGGAAGAAAAGTCGAACAACAACAAAATGAAAATACACAGACGGACTTAAAATCCGTCAGACAACCTCGTCAAAAAAAATTCTTCGCTTTATTTAGATGTGAAAAGTATGAAACTACGTTTTTAACTTTTACTATCATCAGGGGCGTAGCTAGGGGCAATTTTAAATATATCTAACACGCAGGCCAGGAGATCAGGGGGCCGCATAGGCCCCTTTGCAGTTCATGGGCAGAGCCCTGGTGGGGTTCAGTGAGCATAGCCCCCCGAAAGCTCTACGGATTTAGTCATTTAAGGATGATTCGATTATACAATTTCACCTGCATTTAATATCACATAAATGTGGTTTAAATCCTAAAAAAGCAATTTTATGGGGCAGCACGAAATACCCAAATATACCCAAATACACCCAAATATACAAAATATTGCCCAAATATACCCAAATATTGCCTAAATATACCCAAATATTGCCGAATTATACTAAAAATAAATGTTTTATACTAAAAAAGTGCTGTTTTAATCATGAATACAATATACACTTTCACTAAGATATAATCAAACATACCCAAATATACATTTTCCTATCATTGTGTTTTGAACCAAAATACAGTATATGTACTCCATTAAAGCTATTTTTTAATAACATGGACATTTGTATATGATATGTAATTTCAACAAAATTACACCTTAAAAATGTAGACAACAAATATCATATCTTGAATTAAAATTGCAAGTACATTCATAAAGAACCTATATTGTAGATAAGCAAATGTCACAACTTTATTTTCTTACAACATCTTTAAAACTGCCCATTTCAACGGAATGAATGAAAGCTTTAGCAGGCTAAGTCATATTATTTTATAAATATTTATTTATTTCTCATTATAATCTATATTTTATACAAACAAAAATAAATATTGCTATATTTGGGTGTATTTGGGTATATTTGGGTATTTCGTGCCGCCGATTTTATGAAAGACTTATTACACCCAGGGAGCAGAGACTCTGCAGGGAGATACTAAACGCTGGCTCTTTCTTATTTAAATGAGAGTCCTCGATTCATCCATTGTAAAGCTCTCGTAAAAAACAAAGCTGAAAAGGGTAATAACAGTTTTTTAAACTATCCAATTTAAAAGCTTGTTTTTCAAAAATGGGAGAATGTTATGCCAAGTAGACTGTAGAACATCTTTCTCGTTCTTTTGGATTTTTCTTTCACTACAAATTTCACCCAAGCAATGCAACGCGATTTTACAGTTTAATGTTCAAATCAAAACGAAGAATAGGAATAATACATAGAGCAATAGCACCTTAATTCGACATACCCATTAATTCGACACCTTTTTTTTTCGACATCATGAAATCTCAAAATTAAGCGTTTTAGCTGATATTTTGATCGATATTTACGTCCATCATTCATTTGATGACGTCATGAAAAAAATTCAGACCACATAGGCACAGATTTCGCTGACATTGGTTAGTACAAAAGTGTGGCTCGAAAATTTGAACATAAAAAAGTCGCTTCTTAGGGAAACGTGTATGAGGTCGACCTATGTAACAGTAAAAATACTTCTTAATTTTTGTCAAATTATGCTATTGTTAACTTTTAAAACACACTTATTGAAGTTGTTTTTCAAACTGGACCTTCAACAGCTTGTCTAGAGTTAAATTTCCCGCCAAGGCGTGAGTATTGAACTTAGGAACCAAATTTAAAAGGAAGTTCGTTATTTTGACACATGTGACTGAATAAAACCAATTTAGAACTAACTTAAATCAAACTGACCAAATATGACATTCCATGTACGTATGTATATATTGTATTTGGCTGTGGACGAATAAGTATTAATTAGAGTATATAAATGTTACTCCGTTAACGATGTTTGTTATTGAGGTATTAGATGCCGCTAATAAATTCTCATATAGAAAAATACATTTCATTAGTAACATGTAATGGTAATGTTTCGTGATGTTGTTTATTCTAAAAAGCAGGTATACAATGTATTTGGTTTAAATGAACTTCAGCAATAGGTATATCAGTGTTTTATAGTTTAAAATTACATACTGATGCCTAATTGTGTATACATGTCAAGTGAAGCTAATGAAAAGAAATATTGCAGATGTTCGCCATCCAAGTTGATCAACGCTATTTCTATGGTTCAAAGTGGTGTAATATATCAAAGAAGATGAAAACACAATGATATTTGGCATCCTGACTGATAAGCTTAAGCTTATAAGCTGGTTTGAATCCAAACAGTGTGTGCTGACTGCAACACTACATGTTACCTGCTTATCTGTTATGAAGTAAAGATTAACAAGTCTTAGATCATTATGTATGGAAGAAAAACACGTTTAGGAGACTATTCACCTGGAAAACAAAACATTTGCCTTTATCAGTTATTTTAATACTGGTAGGCTACACGCTACACTGGCTCCCTTAGTTAACCTTTTCCCTTATATAAGCGTGTTTCGACGGCTTTTTGCCCCCCCCCCTTTTTGAAGCCTCAAATAATGAAAAATATGCCCTATTTAGACCCCAAACACTTGTTTTCGTTTGAAAAATGGTATTAAAAATAGTGATCACATTTTTGTCGCCATCCACTATAATATAGATACATCAAGTGGGTGTGCCAGAGAGGGATGTGCCCCCTTCTGTTTTTGGGGTTTGAGGGGGGCGGAGTCCCCCTCATCGCCAAGAAAATTTTGGACATGCGACAGGCTAAAAATGGCCTCAGGTCGATCTTAGGGTAACAAGTCACCGACGCTGAAAAGCCTTTTACTCTCTCAATTCATTGAGAAGTTGCAGCACTTTGAAATCAGTTTTGATGGAAAAAAGCAATGCAAAATAGTGATTTTTGGCAATTTTGAGACGTCCCCCCGTTGCCATGGTAACAGGAAATTTACCATTGAGCATGCTGTTACAGAGGCTATGGTGTAGTTAACATTTGTGCCAAGTTTCATTAGTATTGAAGCATTTTTCATAGTTTCATAGCAGTTTGAACTTGTTACAGGAGGCTTTTCAATGAAAACAGCCATTTTTCGCAATATGCTCATGGGGTAAAAGGATAAGTGGCAGATTTGCTTTGACTTTAAGCCATTAGAGATACATAATTAACTATAATCAGTGACCAGCATGAACTCTACCGATTATATATTCAGAGTAGGCCTATGATTTAAACTAAGAACTAATCTAAAAAAAGAAATGTTTCCACTTATAATACAGCCTGTCCGTGGTACATAATTTGCACTGCTGACGCAATGTAATTTGAAATCCCGCTTCAAAGATTAATAATTAACCTTTTTTTATATAATCAAATTATGTGTGTAAGATATACAAAAAATGTATCTACACATGCACATTTTTACTGATTCAAGAGATGAACTGATCGTGCTTTTTAATGCAATATTCTTTCATAATCATGTTTGGGTCGTAAAGTGTTATAGTGTTGGAATTCATTTTACTTTTATATTAATTGAACTTTTAATGTATTTCTTAAACCTTAATTAGGGTGTCAAATTTAGGATCACCATGTCGAAAAACCGGACCTTCAACAGACAAAGCTTATACTATTATTACATGGAAAACCTTAGATGCTACCTAAGAAGTAATGTTTGAAAAGCGTGCAAAAATGTGGGATACTGTAAAGTGAGGTGTCGAAATTAGGATATACATAAAAATGTTAAATTGTAACGAAAATTTATCGTAAGGTGTCGAAATATGGGTACTTTACTCTACCCAATGACCAAAAAGCAAATCAAATAATCTAGATTAAAGACACTCTTTTTGAAAAACATTCTACATCAAGGAAACAATTAAAAATAACATTGAAATTTGCTCTTAAAAGTCATCTAATTAGTGATGAAGAAGGTTTTGAAAATAGCACATTTTATAGATATATAGCGATGTAGTACACTTCTACTTGAATACTGAAGAACCTAGCTAGTATCTCAATGCATTTGGAGATTCTGTTATAGTATATGCATGACTATTAATCGGCATAATTCCACAATTTCGACACTTATTGAATGGTTCTGTTGGCTCCATCACATTAGCGCGGGCTCTTTCACCAGCACCGTGTCAATTGCTTGCATTTGAATAAATGTTAATACTTTATTTATTTAATCAAGCTCTAAAATAAGTTTTGTATTCAGCCAAAGGGGAGATTTGAATCATGTTCCATCTACGATAAAATTGGCAGTTATCACACATGTTAATATTTGGTAAACCTTCTAGCAACATAATTTTTGGGTATCACCATATTTTTACTTTTTTTGGTGTTTTTTTTTTTTTTTTTTTTCAAATTGTTAAAAAATGAGTCATTTCACTTCAATTATGTTTGCAAGAAAAATATAATCCTTCCAAAATTCATTGTTGAAACAATTTGCAACGGACTTATTTTCAGACACTCTGACTAGATGCGACATATTGAACTTATATGTCTCGTATCCATAACTGTCCATTACTGTCGGAACTTGCACACATATTTGTTATATTATCACATTAAAATTCATTCAAATCAATTTGTTTTAATATTAAGAACGTGCCCTATTCCGCTCAAAATAAAACTTAAGTCACTTATAGATATCACATTTATGATACCTAAAATTTAAGAAATTTCTTTTCAACATATTGTCTTACATGTTTTTTGTGATATCTATGACATGTCGATATTATCAAAATGTCTGCATTTTTATGCTCCCCGAAAAATTTCGGGGGAGCATATAGTCGCCGCCTTGTCCGTCCGTCCGTCCGTTTGCACTCACAGGAGAGTAATTATGTGGCTAGAGGGACAATAGGTAACTGTTCTTTCTCTTTGATGTCATTCATTCCGTAATGCTTTTATGTGGCTATTTTCTTTTGTGTGGCTAAAAAGAACAATAGCGAGAACAATAGAGTAGCCACATAATTACTGTCCTGTGAGAACTTCCGTCCGACATTTTTGTCCCCTTTTCTTGTCCGGGACATAACTTTGAAACAACAAGAGGTATCAACATGAAACTTTGTAGGTAGGTAGATCTCATTGAGTAGGTGTGCAGTGCACAAGAACCGTAACTCTGCCTTGCCTAATTTTTGAATTATCCCCCTTTGTTTAATTTCACACTTTGAACTTTGTCC